TTTTTTGGTATAGGCTGATGAATTCCGTTTTCTGTTTTTTTCTCTTTTTCTTCCGTTCATTTTGTATTACGGTGTCCACAATCGGCTTTTTATATATGAATAACTTTTCAAATTTTTTTACAAATTAAATTATTGATAATTTTTATTGTAGTTTTCGGCAAATGCACTAAAAACGAAGCAAAAGAATCGTACAGGCAGTAACGTTCCCCACAAACGTTTTATATGAAATGAATTTCTTTTTTTTTCTAGAACTCTTACGTTCGTCACAAAGATTTTATATGAAATAAATTTCTTCGAACACGGCCAACTACGATAATGTCAGATTGCAAAGCAAAGTTGTTTATAGCAAAAGACAGCATTGCAATGAGCAAATAGGTTTTGACAATAACGCGGAATTTCTATCTTTTTGCTTACTTGGAAGCCGAGTGACGGGCACACAAATACGCTTAAATCGATTTGAAATTTGATGCTAATCGTACATCACTCTTATATATTGTCTAAAGCCTCCTTCCGAGAGACGAAATGAATATGCACTCCTCTTTCGATAATATGTAAAAAAAAAAGTTTATTTTATTGCATTGCTATGCGGTGATGTCGTAAAATTGTAACAGATTGTGAAGACATTCATTACCCTTTCAAGGACTGGTTGTTTGCGCCTATTTTGCTTTGTTTACGTTTAATTCATAATTAATAATTAAATTAAACTCTTATAGGCAACGGGACAACCATGCGTGGTTTAAAATATCGCGATTGAATTATTGTTTGCGCTGCATTGGCCGAGTGAAGCTCCAATGACATTGGGCGATATGTCCACGTAAATATTTTGTGTATTACATATTGGAGTGCTATTTAATATGTATTTCTTCTAGAAAACTGCAACTGTCTGCTAACGAAATTGCGGTCAAGTTAAATCAATGTTAAGCACTAGCATCTAGTCCAATAATGGGTGGGCGATTGGTGGCAAAAATCAAAATTTGTTTATTTCGTTTATTTACAATTTCATATATTTCATGTGTTAACAAGGAGAGTCATCTGAGATTCAGGTAATCAGGTACGAAGAATCTCGTGCGCGTCTCTAGTTGCTATCCACCACGATGGTAGATAGTGCATTATTTTATCCGACCGTGAAGGACTTTAGATTCAGAAGTGACGTGGGCCAGGAGAATATTTTTCTGTGCAAACCCGAATAAGGAGAGATATCGGAAAGAGCGTTAATTTTTACATATATTTATATAAATTTGAAATCTTTTATTTAATTGTATGAAAAACAGCATTTATTTGCCCTTAAAATGACTCTATAAAAACAAATACGATGTTAGCTATTTTACGCTTGCATCGTTCTGGTTAAACCGTCTTCTGAAGTGCCAGGAGCATCACATTACCATTAAAGGAAATTAACAAAATAGTTATTAAGCAGTTTCTCTTGAAATTGCTTGCATAAAGGAAAATTCCCATTTATTAATTACACATAGAAAGACCGGTACTCGCAGCTGCACCCTACATATTCCGAAGAGCGAAGATGCTAATCGAAATGAAAATCTGCTCCATTTATGTGAACACAGATGTTAACGCGACCGAACATTGTTTTAACTACGCGCAAGCCATCTATTTCTCGTTGATAATGTACAGTCATCAACCAATAAGGAACCTGCCGTACTTTAACAATACTTAAGAAATTAAAGCAAGTGTCAAAACCGGTAACAATCGGTCTTTAGTGCGAAGTTTTTCTTTGGTTTTGCCCCGCTAAATATTATACAATCTGCAATTTGCAGCTATGATAGGCGACTGAACTTTATAAGATGTAGATCGATTGCCGTGCAAGAGTCGCAAGCGTGAGTAACGTCAAGGTGGTCTAAATTTAGAAAACTGAATTTACTTGTCAAAGATTTTATTATTTTTCAATTGCTTCCGTTATAGCAAACCATAAACCATTGACCGAAGCATGAGATGTATATACATATTTTGGTAAGGGTTTGCAGGGCTCAGAAGGAAGGAAGCTTCAGGAACCCCACAAAGTATATAAACTCTAGATCAGCATCAAATTCTAAATCGATTTGAGCATATCCGTCTACTTGCGTGCGTAATGTCTCTTGGAAACATTCCCCTGGTCGCAAAAATGAAGCTAATGTTAATAAATTTGGCAGACAAAAATTTTTATTTTGAAATTAGGAATAATCAGCATTTCCGAAATGGAAAAAAGTTCGTTGGCTGCTTTTTATATAACTTTAGGCAAAATATGAAAGTTTCGCAAAGAAAAGAAGGAGGGCGCAAGTGGCACCATTGTGTTTGTTGCAAGAAAACGAACTGCCGATTATTTAGCATGTCTATTGTCGGAAAACTATTATCTATTCACGGCGACCGTTGGCCAGGGCAACGCCTAACTGCTTTGGAAGATTTCAGAGCAGGAGGAATGAAGGTGCTAATTGCGACTTCGGTAGCGACTCCTAATCTTTATACCAATAATATACTCGTTGCAAAGCAAAAACCAATTTAATTGGTCACACTTGCGAATACTGTCAAGGACGTTATTACTTTAAGCATGATCTGCCAGAAGTGCGTGGCTAATATAACAACAACAAGTACGTACAACTATATGTATATGGCGGCGTAAGTATTTGTTGTTATAAGCCGCTAATTTTTTGTGACTTATGTGACCGATTATGTAGAAATGTCTACAATCGATTGTTCTAGAATTGTATGCGAAAAGAATTGGAAACTAACGGTCAAAATCGAAATAATATGAAATAAACTAATAATTAGATGAAATGATCACCAGCTATAAAGATTTTGCTTTTTTTTCTTTTGGTTTTATTGCAATCATGTTTATCAAATGATGATCTGGGACAATTACCGGAAGGATTACGTAATAAAGAAATTCACTAGGAGAATGCTTGCCACAGACGATATAAAGAGAGACAAACTGACCAAGGGCATGTTGCAAACAAGTTGCAAGTAATTGTAATTTACTTCCTTATGAGCTTTTAAGCAAAAGTTTGGTTTACTTTTAGCAAATATTCGACAAATTTTGAAAACATACAAATATAAAATATTATTATTCTCGACTCGTTCAATTCTGTTTTCCGAGAAATACAATTCGATAAGATATTCTTAAATTCATAGTTTCGAAACGACTTGTAATTTTACTTTCCATCCGCCAAACTAGCCGAAGGCGAGGAATCTCGACTAGCGATGGTCAATGGTCGTGGGTTCGAATCTCAAGTGCGGTAGAGTTTTTAATAAAAGCCGATAGCCTATTAAACCATAAATTAGGCTTTGCCTGAACCTACATGATCTAAATTCCCTACATTCAATTTGCTAAGGATTATTTTCAATTCAGTGAGAAGTGCCATATAAAGACATATTTTTCATTAGAGTCCTTATATGGGCTGGGATTCAAAAAATAGACTCATACGATCCAAATTCTGCAAGGTCAATTTTTATATAAAATTATTTTTATGAAAGAACTTCATCATCAAAAAGCATTGCACATTAGGCCGTTTTATTAAAAAGGATTTACTTTCCATGGGAAAGGTTATATGGTAAAGGGTTCGGAATATTGCGCCGTTCGATTAAAACCTTTCACTCCAATTAAGAATATGGGAATAGATTACTCAATGGCTTTTATCGAGCAATAAAAATTAAAGTACTAATGTAAGGAGTGCTCGAATGAATGATCCGATCTGAACCATTCCCAATTGCGGGCGTCTTTGAGCCGTAATACGTCAGTGCACCATATTTCAGCAAAATATCTCGAAAATTACTGTAGTTTGAACAGTAGAATACATGGCCAGATATCAGACGGAAAGGACCGATGGATCAGACTTCTGGAACCGAACTGAATCACCTGTCCGTACAAACCTAACATACAAACTTGACATAACCTAACATACCCTTTGCCAAAAGTGGTGAAGGCTGCAATGAGAAGCACTTTAATATATTTTTAACTTAAATTTTATTATTTATGTGCATACAAGAGTTTTGTTTTAAATAAATTTATTGAAATAATTCTAAGTCGTTGTCTGTGCAAGATATTAGATTAAAAATATAATAATAATTAATTAAAGAAAAAAAAAATAATAATTTATTTTCAATTTATAATTGTTAAGGGATTATATTTATATTTATATATATACATATATACATGAATATATATATATATATATATATTTATATATACTATACTTATAAATATATATGTACGTATATACTAACATATATTTACATTAATTTATTACTACATTAACTAAAATAAAATATGTGTATTGTTGTCGTTGTTGTTGTTGCTGTTCATTTTGTTGTTGTTGTTGTTGAAAATAACTTGTTTTTTTTCATTTTTTTTTTTCATTTATTTTAAGGGTAATAATAATAAAAAGATAAAATTATTTAAATATACAATGGAAAGAAATTAAAAAGACATAAAAATGACTAAACGTGATTTGAGGTTTTGTTGCATTATATTCCTTGTGACATACAAAGTAATTGTAAATTTTGTGAACATCTCCCTAATATGCAATGAATACAAATGCATCTATTATTGTCTAAACTATTTAGTGAGATATGAGGGAGAAAAAGTTTAAAATAAATATTTCGAGACTTTAAAGCTATCATATTCATATGTGTTTCCATTAATTATTCGTCGCACATTTATAGCCGTATTCGTTGATATAGATAGTAAGTGATTTTAGGAGAGAGTTTATAATGTGTCATTAATAGCAGGTCAAGGGTGACTCTATCAGACTATTAATCCTTGTTAGTTATAATCATAAAAGTTGAAAATAAACAAATTTTAATTCTTTTTCTCAGTATCAGTTTGTCAGCTTCGTGTCAAATTACGTTTCAAGTTAAAACATGCAGAGAGAGTCATAAGAGTAGCGTACGCTATTCACTCTTAGATTAAAAGAAGGTCTGAGAAATCATTTGTGACGGAAGAATATTATACAGGCCTTTAGACGAATATAAACTGAAAGCATTGCATTAGAGTTCCAATACATTTTATTCCACTTTACGGCAGGGTTTACAAACGAATCAAGTCCTACAGTAGCCAAGAAAGCATTACCTTCCCGTTCATAGTAAATCTCGATCTAACATAAACATTTATGTGGGAAAACAATAAGAATTCTAGAGTCGGACAAGGCTCAAGACTCTTAGATACCCTACACCACTTCATCTAATACAATCATTCATTCATCTTCTTAATAATACACCAAAAATTTTACATTACTTTTATGTATAACGAATAAGAAGACGAAAGTCTTCATGTGGAAGGATACTCAAACGTGGTCTGAATTTAGAAAACTTAATTAGGCCATGTCACCATAGAAGGGCTTACGTTCATAAGACTGTCCGTACGTCGACAGTCTAAAAACTATTTCTGTGTGATTCAAGTTCCCTATGATTAATTTGTTAAGGACAATTTTTTCATTCAATTCGACCTTTTTGCCATATAAGGGCATATTTTTCATTGTTACAATCCAAAAAAAAATTGACCTGCCTAGTCCAAATTCGGTAAGATTATTTTTATATCAAAATATTTTGATGAACGAATTTTCAACAAGAAGACGTTTTTGCGGTTATATGACAAAAAAATACCCCATATGGTACAAAGTTTCGAAACCAATTTAGAATTTCGAAGCACTTTTATTTATAATTATTTATATTGTCGAAAATTTTTTGAAAATATCAATTTGTTCCCATATAACGATTTTTCAAAATAAATCGGGAGTGGACGAACCAAACCGAATCATTTTCTGTAGCATTCGTCCTTGGGCCAAAACATACCAGTATATCAAGTTTAATTAAAATTTCTCGAAAATTGCGACTTTTAAGTTGAACCCAAAGAAACAATACGAACAGGCGGGCAGGCAAGCGTTCAACATTTGTACTGAATCGAACAAAAAGTGACTCCGAATCGAGTCTTGTAGTATACTAAAGGGTGAGTCTATATCAACAAACCAGACAGACATACAGTCAGGGAAGCTTATATTGATTCTGAATCGATTAGCATAGTAAAAGATGGGTCTATCTCAGGTACTTCCGAACAAAGTTAATATATCCCTTGCTTAAAGTGATGTAGGGTATAAAGAGACTCTCTTTTCACCAAAATCTTTAATGTTTCGCATAAATGTTTGTTAGATCAATATATCCTATGAGCTAGAACTTTATACTTTCTTGCCTATTATGGGCGGATATCGTCAGTTGACATGTATTCTTAAACTGACATGTATTAGGTTTAAGTTATCTACCTTAATTTTTATTTTTTATAGTAGCAAGCATTCCAATAACAACCGGACAGATAGATAAACAGATATGGCAAAATCGATAGGGTTAGTATCTTTTACGGGACGAGATGAGATGTTTAATCTAAATTTTGGATATTTTTAAACGGAAACACAGACTTAATGGACTTCAATTTATTCGTAATAGTGAGTTCACTTTGGATAACTAACTTTATTGCAAAGCACGTTTCTTAGCCCAAATTTTTAATTGATCTTAAGCTATTCATGAAATTTCCCTCATATTCTCGGACGCGGACGCGATATATCATTTCACGTGAATTTATTTCAGAATTTTTCATAGCATTTATGGCAACATATGCACAATTCCACAGCAATCGTTATGATAATTGTGTTTTCTATTCAATTGTAGGCGAATATATATATATATATATATATATATATATATGTATACACCTTAAAGAAAACTTATTGATTGGTTTTATGGGTTGAGAATGACTAATTTAACTAATTTTCAATTTTGCTTTAGATTATCTTAATAAAGTTTTCTAATGTTTGGGATCCTTATTGTAATCGACATAAACTCGTACCACTTCGCCGGAATATTTACGTTGTGAGGGCATGAAATAAAAGTCCGGAGTATCAGCGCCACCATTCGATACCAAACGTGGATCTTCCATAGATCTGTCACGATAATAGCGCCGCTCATCGTTGCCCGTCGAAATCCTTTGAGCGCTACGATCACGTCGATCTTGGGTATAAAACCCGGATGGTTGCATATTCGCATTCTGATGCTGCTGGCGAGGTAAAGAATACGCTCGGTCCGCATATGTCATGCGTTGCGTATTCGCGGCAGTTTGATTCGGTTCCGTACGCTCATAACGATCCTGATGATTGCTACGATCTCGATTATTAGCATTTTCATGGGCATTATTTCGTTGCGGGCGATAATTTAATTGTGTGGTAGCACTGGTGGCATTGGTGCGTGCATAATTTCCATTTCCATTGGAATTTTCAAAATATAATTGTGACTTGTTTGTCGGCGAATGTGACATTTGTAACGTGGTTTGCTGACTATGACTCGATGAACGTTGACGTTGGGATTTTTCTTTACTTGTCGAAGTTGCATTAGCAGATGCACTTTTCTCCTCAGTTTCACCATACGGATCGAAAGCATAATTTGTATTCGATGTGAATTCTTTCCAAGGTGAATTCTGGATTAGATTTTCCTATAAAAAATATGAAAAAAAAAAAAAAACATTTCATATTGAAGATGAATTGATATTTGCTTCCTGTTTAAATCCTTGACCAGTCAGCATTTCTAAAGCTTTTCATTAAAAACATTTATACAAGAGAAAATTCGAAACATATCAAATCGATTGCAATCATGGCAGATATTTTTATATACGCATAATGAAATTTTAAAATTTTCAACGCAATGTCAGTCACACATAGAATTTATGCTATTTTGCCTTATAAGGTATTTTTAGTCAAATGCTTACCAATATTTCTTTAGTGATATATTTATGAAGGACTCTTTCATGATTATGAGATGTAAATTAAGCCTGCACCACCTTTATATGAGAGAACATGTAGTTTTTATAGTTCTACTTAAAAGTTTTCATTGCATCATAAGTTACGTACAGTTAGTAGAAGTAGTAGTGCAACTTGCTAAGCATAAACATATTACGCAAACTGTAGTGTACATAAAATCACATATTCGTGAGGTTCTCGCGAGCGCGTTTCAATTTTCTGCCTGAATCTTTGCAATTATGGCAAGTCCAGTAAAAGAGGATGGACATATTACACACATGTGAAGGCGAAGGCATATTCCGACGATAGTGAACGATTTTTTTTTTTTTTGGAAGTGTAAAAAAGCATATATATATCAAGAATGAAATTTAGAGAAATCCAAGTTTTCTATTTCACCGATTTGAGGTAAAGAAGGTAATACTGTTTATTTTTTAACATGAAACTTCAATAGTTCATAGGCACTCTGAGTCAGAGTTTCTTAAACGAAGCTTGCGCTGTTTGATGCGTAGTGCCAAATACATTGTTAATATTTCGCTCGATCTCTGTAGGAACTCACCGTACAGAATAGGGTGAATTTTCGGACGTTTCGTTTTCAACAAAGTTATTCCTTAACAACAAAGTTATTGGTTACGAGATGTGAAACTCTCAAAGAAAAATACCATTTGTGGCATAGGGTATATTGTTTGTTCGGACGGTTGTCACACCCAGAAGCACTTGAGGTAGATTTGCCTCATCATAATCGATTCGGATTCGGCTTCTAATCGATTCAGAATGACTTTCTGCATCAATTTAATATCGTCTGCCGTCCATTGGTTGCTGTCCATTTGGTTGCCGGCCTATAGGCCGCAATTTTCGAGGTATTTTGATAAAATTTTATGCACAGGCGTGTTTTAGCCCAAAGGCGAGAGCTATCGAAGAGGTTAAGTTTATGCAATACACATAACGACTTTCGATAGACCCACGTTTCACTATTCAGAAAGTGATTGTAAATTGGTTTAAGTGCGTCAGTACGTCTATCCGTCTTGTGTTGCTGTTTTGAAAGCACAAGCCACAATTTTTGAGAGATTTTGATGATGAAATTTGGTACACCGAAGTGTTTTGGTCCAAGGGCGGGCGCTACTGAAAATGGTTCGTATCGAAGTATCTTTTCGACCACTTCGCTTATACCGCCTTATTCTGAGATATCGTTATATGAATAACTGTAGGGTGGTGTAAGTTATTTACTTGTGAAACCTGTTCCACTTTAGGCTTTTTATTTGTTTATACTATTTTAACAACATATTTTTTTTGTTTATTTTCTGATAATGATTTTTTTCGTTCTCATGTTCAACTAAGTGTACACTTGTCGACTGAAAGGATCTCACATACAGATAAGATTCATAAATCTTGCATAGGTCAAGTGGTGGTGGTCTTAATGTGAAGAATAATTGTCGGTCTGTTCTTGTACAACCTTTATGTTCGCGGAATTTTTCTTATTAATTACATTGTTTTATTAGTAATAGTGACGTCGTATTAGCGAATGAATGAAAATTAATTGCGCAAAATAGCATAAAACAAATGCTGACTGATTTTAAGATCAACAAAGGAAAAAACATTCACGTTTAAAAAAGGAAACCCTACACGGGCGACGTCTTATTAAAAATTGATAACATTTTTAAATAAAACAATCCGCGTAGGCTTAAAAGAAGATAAAGACAAAGCAAAAAAATTATATAGTGAAACGGAGAAGATGAAAAGGCACAGAAATAGAGAGAGAAATAGAGAGAGAGAAAGAGAGAGAGAGAGAGAGAGAGAGAGAGATGATGCAAGGTATTGGTTAATATTTTGCCATACATTCAGTGCATACGTACGTGAATTATTAGTGAGATTTTATAGTAGTCACGTTAGAAGGAAAAAGTGAACTATTTTCGTTCTTTTAATCTATTTATTTACCGATGTAACAACAAATGAACATTTACTCAATGATTAATTTTTTTTTTCCTTTTTTTTTGATTAGCTTCCGCTGTGTTTCTTGAAAAGGGTTTAATTTTTTTCCGGTTTTTTCTTTCTGTTTTTTTTTTTTTTTGTTTTTAATTAGTTAATTTTATGACGGTTGTTGGAAAGGAAGTCGGTGTGAAGTTAACACATTTGGATTGGATCGTATAAAAAAGTATTTGTTTATAGATCACTAGAGGGTTGGTAGTAGCGCTGTTGTTGCCTTTGTTGATATATCCGCCATTCATCGGGTATTACGTAAATCAGCTTTAAAAAGTTTTTGAATAATATTAATAATGATGCCGAAGATTAATTAAGGTTTTATGTGCGATTTTTTTTTTTTTTTGTAAAAAAAATGTTTGCCAAGGTTGTATAAAGTTCAAAAGATACAATAACCTTGTATCCAGCGTGTGATTATTCCTAATAATTACCTTATTGGATCTATTCTTTTTAGATGTCTTACAGATGGTGAAAATTGCTTGAACCAATGCTATGAAGACGAGAGCAGCAATTAAGCCCAAGACAATGTATAGCCGTACTTCGGATAATTCAAAAAATGAAAGCTTTGTTTCCTCCGACATTTTGATCGGTTTATCTAAAATGAAAGAAATGATTTTAAAATATCTTCTTACGAATTAAGTTGTGATCTTACATTCCAAGGCTTCAAAGTCTAAGTATTGTGGTTCGACATTTAAAGATCCTATTTTCCCGGTAGCAATTTGGTCGAGTAGAGCATTTTTAATAAGATCACCATTTTCCAACATTTTCTCCTGCTGCTCATCCTTAACAATATTGGTATTGAGATCATAACCTTTTTCGTAGTCGTTTTTATCGAACAACGTATGCAATTTGGCAATCATTGTAGTCCCGTCTCTGCAACAATAAAACGTGTTTTTAGATAAGCTATTTCTAATTTAAAGGAAATCCTGATTCATTGAAAACCTTTTTTCAATAACAGAATGTTGCCCAGCAGCTGTTATACGTGGTGTGTAGCAATCTACGAAGTTTCGATAGAACTTGATAGAATTATTCATCTATTCTCTCAAGCTATTTTGCCCCAAGAAGTTTACGTACGGTACTAGTTGGCTTAATGGAGAAAGAAATAATCATTTCCTACATTGTCGTTCTGTAAGGATAACCTTACTACACTGATAATCACCACCAAGACCATACAACAATCCTGTATGTTGTATGACACTTGAAGCCCAGCGCTAGTGAAAAATATTCTTTTACATTAATCACATACCACGCTAAAGACATACGTTTTTATTTGTTTTTGTATTTTGATATGACCCTTCAGTCGTGGCATGTTCCCCCTACATGTTTCGGAAAGAAGTAACAAAGTTATTTATGCCTTGAGAGGCGAAGCACTCTTTGTGGGTGCAATCAAATATGTTCTACTGCATTGAGATTTGAACCCGTGAATAATGATTTCACAGTCGCGTTGCGTATTTACTCGGCTACTATGGGTGTAATTAGTTTTTAACATTTTTGTTGCATAATTTTTTCTTACTTTTCAAAGTCGACAATTTCCGTTTTATAATAGCCGGCAATATTGTTGAGTACACCGTTGAAAGAGTCGGAAATAGTGGCTGCCAAATTATTAAACTCTACCGTGCCTGGTTCAGGAGCTGCAAACGACTCTGCCAAATTCATAAGTTTAACGGCTACTGAATAAACCAAACGATTTGGTGCCGGCGTAGTTGGTGCGTTTATTATATTTTCAAGTTCTATTAAGAAACGTAAGAAAAAATATTCATTTAAAATCTTTCTGACCTTTATTTTCATTGTTATACCCCACACCATTAATGAGACAAAGGTACATTAAGTTTCTGCGGATGCAACACTCAGAAGGACTTGACATAGACTCAACTTTTATTATACCCATCGATTCAAAACCATTTTCTGAATCGTTTTAAGCTTATCTTCATCTTGTGTCCTTGTGTTGAACCCACGGCTCAAAATTTTTCAGATATTTTGATGAAATTTGGTACACTGACATGCTTTGGCCCAAGAACGGTCACTATTGAAGATGGCTCCGAGCAGTCCATTGTTTCGACAACTTCCCATATAAGAACTTCTTTTGAAAGGTCATTATATTGAAGAATATTACAATTTTCAAAACTTTTCGACAAAACTCGCTGAGCAGTGGTACTTCGACTTTCTAAATTGGAATGAAAAATTTAGTTCGACGGGTCTATTGTTTGAACCTGTTCCTACCTTAATTGAATCTTTATATGGTGAAAAGGTATAATTTTCAATATTTGATGGTGAAAATTGCTTCATAATAGTAAATTAATAAAGAAGTCAACATTATCGGATTTGGTCCACGTAGTTCTATCTTCTGGATACCACAGCACATAAGGATACTCAGGAAATGTAAATGGCAAGTGTATATGGCAAAACGGCCCAACTGTTAATGTTTTATGATCAACATTTTTTTGAGATTATAATTTGACATAAAAATTACGTGGACCAAATTTGAACCAAATGGGTCGTTCATTCCCATTCCATGTAAGATTTTTCATGAGTAGCAAGTGCATCAGAAAAAGTTTTGCTTTTTAATGTTTTGTGATGAAGATTGGTCCGGAAGGAAATTTGGACCACATAGGACTATTTTGTAGACCCTTACAAGTATAGGGATTATCATGAAAACCAACCCATTTTATGCAGAGAAAGTCTAATTTCCAACTTTTTATGGCAGAAACTGGAAAATGATTGAATTTTTAGAAAGTGACTTAAGTTTGCTAAATTTGTACTCCGTCGCTTGATGTTTTGGGCATCCTCCAAAGAGCGGACTTTCATGAAAAGTATGTCTTTGCAGGGGAAAAAACTGTGTTATTGGTGTAGGTTATATAATAGGTGGCCTTGCCCGATTATAATATTCTTCCTTGTAAATTGTAATAGAGCCAAAAATGTTTCTAGACAGCAAAGCTTTAAGATTAGCGTTGAAGAGTAAGGAAAGAACACTCTCTAAGGCAATTAGAACGTTTATATTTCTTTACCTACCTTTGCCACATGACTTGATGCAGACACGATTAGGCGAAATAGAAGGCACACGTTCATGTTTGCGTATTTTCTTATTTACTGCATTAAAAGCGCCGCCCAAAACTGGGAAGAAAAGATACAAACAATGCTCGTCGGTGAATGATAAATCCTAGTAAATCAGGTACTAACTTAGATACATTGGCATTAAAAACTTTCAAATAGTTGATATACCTGTTCATCATTGCTGATACGTTTTCTAGTGAACTCTAGTATAGTTACACCTTTTTCAATACGTCCCGAAGCATTCGTAATATCTTGGCGATCATCCAATTTTGGCGAGGAATAACCGTTTATCCAAGTATCCATAAGGAATGGTCGGCCATTACGATCAACCCAGCCAATGATTGAATCCGTTTGAGACATTTTTTCATCGTTACTAAATCCTATCCCAGTCCAAGTTTGCGTATTACTCGTTTCAATGTGCCAGAACATTTCATCACCTCTACCCACTGTCTCCCATGAAGCATAGTATTCGCAGCTATGATTTTCTGGTTCACAATCTTGCGGATATTTCCAATGACCATAGCAATCGTTATTTAAAACATTTGTGTGTTCATCTTGATCTTCTGGTGATTTGGCTTTTTCTATTGGGCAATCATTTCTTTTTAATCAATCGTTTTTTCTTTATTTAGTTATTATTACTTTTAAACCTACCAAAGAAATTTATTTGGGTTACCCCGCGTTGCATTCTATGTCCATGATATTTTAACTCATCCGGCTGATAAAATTCCTTAACTGAAGCTGTTTCAGTTTCAATGCCCGATTCCGGTATATGCACATAGCGGCCTAATTCTTGACCCTTCGCCCAAATGACATGCGTTAGCTGATCGTCTAAAGTGTGATCGGTTGGTTCGGTTGAAACTAGCTTTTTACGAAATATAATTGTCGTTACGCCATCCATTTCAAATCCGGTAGCTAAAGTTAAATCATCTTGGCCGCCATAGAATTCATCATGACGAGGCGTCGACCGATCACGTGTGTAATAATCTCCTACACGGCTAGCCATGCCACGAGCTGAGCCTATTATAATATCCGTACAATCCATGGGATTAAAATCGTGGCGAGGAATATAGGAATTTATTTTAGCAGAATCTGCATGAATAAAATAGGAACACCTAAGGGTTTAAAGTGCATTCTTTGTATAAAGACACAAAACAATTTACCCGAACCTTGTGCGACGCGATGGTGATTGTCATTCAACGTTGACTTAGGCTCTGGCTCTGACTTTGGCTCGGGTTCAGGTTTAGGTTCCGGCTCGGAATTGGGTTCAGGTTCTGGTTTAGGCTCCGGTTCTGATTTAGGTTCCGGCTCAGATCTAGGCTCAGGGACTGTCGTTGGTTCTGGCTCAGATTTAGGCTCTGGTTCAGGTTTAGGCTCTGGTTCAGATTTAGGTTCGGGCTCAGATTTAGGTTCTGGTTCAGATTTAGGCTCAGGTTCTGGTGTTGGTTCTGGTTCCACTTTTGACTCGAAAGTTGACTTAGGACGTTGATGTTGCCAATAGTTTATCGACTCCGTTATATCTGAATAATGTAATCAATCAAATCGTTTTATGAGAATAAATCTTTGAATGTTATTACGTTTACCTTCGACATCTCGGCGTTTACGTCCTGATGAGGTGCTTACACGATACGATACGCTTCTAGCTATTGAACTCACTCCCCTTGTAGGATAATTTTCGTCATTGTCAACAAGCCGCTTATTTTTGCTTGGCTCAGATGTTGGTTCAGGTTCCGATTTTGGCTCGGGTTGTGGTATTGGTTCGGGTTCCGCAGTAGGTGGTTCAGGTTCCGGGGCTGATTCTGGCTCTGGCTCTGGCTCTGCTGTTGGCTCTGGCGCTGGTTCTTTCATTGATTCCGGAGCTAGATTTACTGTTGATTTGCTATTGCCACTGTTTAGATCCTGAATCAAGGGAAAACTTTTACATTTCTTTGTCAAGGTCGATGGCCTCCATCCCATCGCGATCCAAGTAGTACTATTGACTTTAAGAACAACCTCGATTTCTTGCTGAGTCTCTAGTAACCTCCAATACATTTTATAATCTGGTGATAATTCTTTCATCATATAAGCGGACAGATCAATATCGTTGTTCTTATATGGTGATCGCTTATTGCAACCACGCCCAAACCAACCGAACTTACAATAGCATTGTTTACGCGGCAGTACAGTACCCTGTAAGTCTATGCATATCCCTTGGCTGCCACAATCTTGATTATTGGAACACTCATCCTTGTATTGACACTGTGGACCGTAGTAATTTTTTTCGCATTTGCAACGTGAAGGGAAATATTTGCCATTTCCCGAACAAGTCTCCTTAAAGTCCTTACGTTTTCTGACGTCAATATCTGCACACGACCAAAAACGATAATCACTAGACCATTCGTCGGCTTGTCGCAGCAAACGTAGCGTGCAGTTATAGCATTCGAATTCGTTCGGAATATTGACTTCGTAAGATTGAGCACTAAGAAGAGGAAAAGAACAACGAAATCGTAATCAAGGTGTACTATTGCACTTTAATTACAACATACGTAACATCGGTGCGAATAAATTCCGATCCATTTACTTGTGGTGTCAAATCGACCAGAGGACGGTCCAGCTCATCTAATAACTGTAGTCGAAAACCGCCCTAAAATAAATTTAAAGAAACAAGTGATAATTATATCGCACGTCTAACTCCTCTTCAAGGAAACATTAAAATTATTATCAATTAAGGATCCATATTAATATTTAACGATTATATTGTACACTTATGGATTGATTGTGCAAAGAGGTCGCAAAATGATCATTCAAAGCCACGTCAAACGTTAGCCTGTCATATGTCGCTAAAAGCTCTTGAAAATTAAAACCGATCAAACAGACAGGCGGCCAGACATGTTTAAATTTATTCAAAAGATGCTTAGGAATCTAGTGATAGGTGGGCTAATAATAAGCCTTGCTGGATTTTACATACCTACGTACAGACTCTAAACAAAAATAATTTCAAGGTTGTTTACACATATAACTCTTAACTTCTTAAATAAGATAGTGTTTGATTGCTTAGTGTTATTGCTTTCAGTGTTTAGTGCTTTAAACTAATCAGCAAAAAAGCGGCATTCAGCTATGACCGAATCTTTGATGTACATATCATCTTTACTACCCTAAAAAAAAGCTATTAAAACAAAAAACTGTTGTACTCTATAATATTGGATGTCCGTTGTTAAGTTTCTTCACTTTTTAGAAAGTGTGCCTGGAATTTTTGGTCGCCTGTCTGTTATGAGCAACTAGTAAAACTAGCACTGAACGCAAATATGTTTTCAATTTCAGTGGCATTGTAAGAATGTTTTTTCACAACTTTGGACTGTTTGCAATACCAAGCCTGCTTGAAACAACTATGAAATTTGAAGCGGAGAGCTTCATATCTGCGAACGATAGAATGTTTAATCAAACGGACGGACGTACTTAAGTAGATTAAGAATTTACATTTGATGGCATCTCTGAAGCTTCCTTCTGGTTGCTGCCAAGCTTTTGAGAAAATGAATACACCTTCAACATAAATATTTTTGAAAATTTTACTTTAGAAGAATGATTTGTAAAGTAATTGAATTCAGTTAGCAAGTGAGAATTTTATTCACATAAGACGAAATCGAGAAAAAGTATTGTAATTACTGCTTCCATTATACACATGCGCGTTGTCTGCAAAAGCAAACAAGACCGATATATGTCCGTTTGGGAAATCGTGAAGAAAATTAATAAAGAACTCACTAGAGGCGTGTCTAATCGTTTGGTATGAAGGCGTCTAAGCGAAGCTTAGTTTTTTTAAACGAATAAGCTGAGGGGAAGCCCGTCTGCTTAAGCTTGCTTGCCTTGTTATTTTTTCTCATAGCTAAGTGTGTACTATTTCTGTGATCATAGCTGTATGCATACTGTGCACTAGGTATATACATTTCGTGTTCATTGCGTTTTAAAAGACCAAGTTCACTAAAGATGCAAGAGATTGCTTAAAACATTATCAGTTGCGTCAATGCGAATTTAGAATAAAATTATTTTTTTTATCTTTCGACTAAATCGAATCAGCAACTAACCTATGTATAGTGATAACTTAGCGCATAAACAATGGCCTATGCATGTCTTCATACTATATTTACGTATATATGCAATATATAAGTAGATGAGAATATTTTCTCGCCATATTAACGCCATCATTTGTTTTGTTGCAATTGCTGCTTCTGTTGTTGGCTGATATACCATAAATTATGAACACACAACAACATAAATGAATTTATTCATTTGTATACATAGTGTAAGGCGAATGCACATTCACTCACTTACTCACACAATTAAAAGATCACTTAGTTGTGTGCTTACTTACACGGCGGCAAAGACGACAGCGGTAAATAGTAATGTGAATGCGAGCAACAATTATTACAGTTTGCGCCATAGTCAGAGGCATGAAGTTCGTTATAAATTTCAACACATTTAAAAACCTTATGTCATGGTATGCTTTTCTGTTATTTTATTGCTGAACATCATTTTCACCTTTCCAAGCTTTTTACACATGTGCTTCTACTAAGATTGTTTCTATTCTTGACTTCCGCTTAAGTGCTGCTTATGAGATGCGTGTGTATTCTTAATTTCTATCCAAGCCAATCATAGGTAATTATGTGCTAAGGTTAGGTGTTTACATTTCGAATCGCATGTGTTCCCAACTTACGAGTACATGGTAGGGGACGGTATCTTGATTGTACATAATTCAAAATTCAAACATTAAACACACATACACACACGGGTAGACCTTTCAGGGTACGTTTTCACACCTTACATCACTCGCGGCACAGGCGTATCTTAAATTTGCGAGCAAGTATGCAACAAATCAAGAAACTGGAGAGAGACCCAACTTTTATTGTTCCGATCGATTCAACCTTGGCCCGCAATCTGTCCGCTTAGTGTTCTTGTATTCAACCTACAGGCCGCAAATTTTTGAGATATTATAACGACTTATTTTGAAAAGTCGTTGCATGAATAACTGTAGGGTGGTATAGGGTGTTTCATGGTGCACCGTGGTTCACTATTAGGTTTTTACTTCCTTAACTCTTCTTTCGCGTATGTGGTATATATGTTTTGGCAAAGTCTAAAGGCACGGAAGTACTTTAGTGCCAGCATGTTTTCATATTGTGATCCCTTAATTGAAATTGTACTGCAGCCCTTACAGATTTAGTACAGAAATGGTGTTTATTAAATCCTTGTTTTTGTTTTTCTTCCAAAAACCAAGATTTTACGAGAAGAAGGAAGATACACAGCGCTTGGTCAGAATCAATACTTACCATTAACCTATGTATATATACATATATAATCGATATATATATATATATATATATATATGTATATATATATATGTATATTAACCTAATGTGATTGCGAGATAGAACGAAGATGCAATAACTTGATATTGATCCTATATCGTATCCGATGGGGTTTTCTAGCTAGCTGGGTAGCTTACTAGCCAGAGATCTTATTTGAACATTCCGCCTGATTTATACATATTTCTTTGAAGTTAAAATTAGTATTACCGACCTGCCAAGGTCACTTGATGCATTTCGAATTTCGATTTTCACAAAAATAGTTACGATGATTCAGTTTGAACAGGTTTCGATAACCTTTATTTAGATGAAGACATCTGTAGGTACTTACAAACAATTCTTTCTAGATGATCTACCTGATCTGGTTCGATGGATATTGATGTGTCAAGAATGTGCATATATGGATACGTGTGTGTGTGTCTGTGTGTGAATATTTAATTGTTCATATTGCTCCGTCTGATAAGGGCTAATTAAGTGGTGAGTTCTCAATGCAAAGTTTATGATTTTTTCATTTGTATTCATGACAATAAAAATTAAAAAGTTAAAACAAAGTGAACAACGATATGCAATAGAAAATTCGCATAATCAACGAAGTTATCGATACTCGTTTCGGACTGTCGCAACACTCCCTAATGTCACCTATCACTTGCAGCAAATGTCTATCAATTTATGTGCTTTCTATTCATTTATTTAATATTCATACCCTAGCTATCCTAAAGCTACACAAATCTAATCTTATATTAATTCCATTCGCAAACGAGTACAAAACCTTATGTATATTAAATGTCTTGTTTATATAGTATACATGGGTTAGGTAAATTATCATTAATTTCGTTTTGTTTCTTATTTTATTTATCATCCTTCTTAATGGCTGCTGGTCAAGGTCCAGTCTCAACGCCTCTTGCTGGAAGAGTTAACAATCTGATTTTTGATCACCATCATCACTTCAAAATTCTACATCTCGCAGTGCTATTCCTTTTTTATATACATATATATATATGTTAGAACGTGATATCAACTCAAAATTTGCGTACAGTACTTCAGTATTGGTTTTTTTTTTTTGCAATCCAGGGATCCCAGTCTTGTTTTGTGTTTTTTTTTTTTTGGTTTTTATAAATGGTGGCAACACATGGACAACTGTCACAGATGCCATGTACATGTGCGTAGTGGGTTCATTTGACTAACGCGCTTTGCAGGACTGCCACAGTCGCCGAAACCTGTACCAGTCTTCATCGATTAAAAAGATAGGATTAAAAAATTGTTTTCATCTATTCGTACACATAATCACAATAACTAAGTAGAAAGTTCAAAAGGATAATCGGAAGTTATTAAGTAAGTAAGTAAATAACTTACGACATCGTGGAAATGCTACGCAAGTATTTTGCAATATCATCTATGCATGCATTGCAAAAATTGTGTCGATCAATTTGCTAAAGAGATTATAGGTAACGGTAATAAAATGACTTTTCAAACTACATTTCTGGTAAGTCATTACGACTTTTTCTCAAAACTAATTCAAAAGATATTCGAATTTGTAAAAGTTGATAGTAACAGAGATGGGTTAATAAGCAAAGAGTTTCTTTGGTGCAAAAATATAGCAAATCTAATATATTGATGTCTGTTAAACAAAAGACAGGAAATAGTTCTAAAGTATCTTTTTACTAATTAAACTAATTAGGAGAGAATTTACTACCCCTCTAGGGCTCTTAAGTCACATTAGTTTCGATATGTCTTTCGGAGTATCGAGTAATTCAACTAGGTGTGGTATATATACGCAATTTAATTCATTTGTAGCTCTGCTTTTGCATAATTTATTATTAACTGATGTTTACGCATAGACTTGCAACATCTATTTCAGGTAGAATTTCCAATATGATCCGAATAAATTGACTGAAATTTACTTTTTCCGATAATTAGCTTATTTTCATTGATTAAATTGCTTTCGAAGCGGGGTAAAAAAACCAGAATGGGATCAGAGAACTAACAGTTAAGAATTGATAGTTAATCATTTGAAATTGACAGCAAAAAGCTTAATTATTTCTTATTAATAATGTTTAATTAAGCACTTGTGCAAAACTCTTGAAAATTCACATGCATTCGCTTTATAAACGATTTGAATCTAATCTTCAAGTAATTAAGAAAGCATTTCTTTATTAGGCATTGTTAGTTAATTATTAGCAATTATTTTTCAGTTGTCTTTCATGTCAGAAAATAACTCATAACACGGGTGTACAGAACGATAATGGATTGCAAATCTATAAAAGGTTGCACAGTTAATAAGCCCAAGCTGTTTAAGCAGTCTACAATAAGAAACAAAGAATTTTCTCTTCCTAAAGACACATTACCTTAAAGTCGGAAATTTTAGCCTAACTATTACGTTATTTTATTGCTTTTCTCTTTTAGTTGTTCATACATTCGCCAAGTGCTTAATTTGAAATGATTGCGAGTAAAGACATTTTGAAAATAGAAGGAAAAACTATCTTGTGCAAGTTTGCTTACTGGTCTTACTTTTACTGGTTCTTGAATGCCTACTCAGACTTAAGAAAGTGCTTGAAATGTAATCAGTCGTAATTAATTTTATAACCGCCATATATTATGTTTATACTCGATACTAAAGATATGTTAGATTTGACAACTATTTGTACCGCTTAAAAATATGCAAGCATTGAGTCTAAGCATATTCGATCAAAGTGTATGACTGAATTGTCGGTCCGTTCACCAATTAACACCTGAAAACTTTGTCTACACCAACAATTTTATCTCTGTCCTTATTATCTCGCTTATCTGGTAAGTTAAATTCGAGAATCGTTTTGAAAATTACCAAATAACTAAGATTTTTGCATTGTTTCCCTTCAAAATATCAATTGCAACCGATCAAGATTACAATCTGTGAAAAATAAGCAAAATCGACTCACTTGCAGTTATAACAGGACGAAAATAAGACGGAATATATATATATGTGGCAAGTAAGTGCAGTACAATTATCTAAAAATCGGTCCCGACCACATATACATATAGGTCTTGAAGCATATCATAACACTCAATAACATCTTAGGAGTATGTACAGTCATCGCTTCTTTTGCTTTTGTAGAACAATGAAAAAATTTAGATCTCGTGTTTAGTGTCACCAAAACAACTATAACCTGTAGACCAATGATCGGAATGATATGAAATTTTGACATACAGATTGGTACTATTTATAAATCATATGGACTCGTTAACAATATTCCTACATCTATTTGTAATCCTATGAACTTATTGTGTAACGCGTTACGTTACATGACTAAACAAAAATTCATCCCAGTGGAAATATTCATCTTATGTCCTTGAAATTTGTGAACGTAAAAGGCTTATCATTTTGAATATGAAGGGATTGGTTTATACAGTCAACTAAAAAATGTTTTGAAATTCTAACAAAGTCAATTTCATTTCAATACTGGCTACGATACGTTCTACGCGTTCTAGGTCTGGTGAGTGGATCTTCGTTTTGTCTTCCTAAGCGAGCTCTTGAATATTAATGGGAATGCAATTTAAGTTGAAGGTAAGCTTAAATATCCCTTTCCGTTACTATAAGAGAAGTAGGTCTTGATTATATCGCAAGCTGTTACATAACTTGCTTTATTTAAATCTTAGGTTCCCCGAGCTTCTATTGTTCCATAGTAGAGAATCATGAGTGGGACCAAAATTATTTTTCATCTTTTAGTTCAATTACTATTTTATGAAATGTATTTTTTTGAAGAACCGCGCACATATTCATCGCATTACTTTACCCCTTGAATGATAACCTTGAATATTTTCTATTCGTTCTGATCACAATTTAGTGTAATACAAAAAACCGGATGATACGCCACCATTGCCCTAGAATGTAGACACTAGCGGCTTATAAACATTATTAATGTAACTACTATTAGGAATGGAAACTACCTAAGAAAGGCAAAGCTAAACACACCACACGTCTTGTGACAATTCATTCAGCAAATGCTTCAAATTTAATTCAAGAATGATCCTTCTCGAACTTCATTCCTGAGCAAGAGAACGTTGCGCAGATGTTCCGCTTATCTTTGCTCTTAACATTGTCTTTATCGCTGGGCCTGAAGTAATGAAGGCGAGATAGGCCAACAAAAACGCTGGCGTTAAAAGGAGATTAAGAAAAGAATGCTACCAGGCTGACCTAAAGATATGTTGATATCTTGTTCTATCATCGTTGTTGGCATTTTTAAAAGATTTAATTCTTAGAGGTCTCTTTACATTCACCGAATTTGTAAAGCAGTTTCTACAAACAACCTCTAATTTTTCTCATCAACCCAGCAAATTAGGGATCCTCGATTTCCATATAGTTTGCGTAGAAGGTATTTTTTTGGTGTGATATCATTTTTTTTTAAGATTTCTTCAAAGGATGATTCTCTGATTATTTAATTGTAGATACGAACTGCTCCTGAAGTTTTCAAGTGCACTTGTAATAGTTAAACGTCTTCCCAGAGAATGTATTACCTACCTTTCCGACAATATTTGGCCATAATTGCGATCAATTGCTTGCTTCCTGCATTTTATGTATATCCATTTGTACTTTATCCAAATAATCCTGCTTTGTATGTGCAATTATTGTAAGTCATAAATAACAATTGGTTCAATATAAAAGCGGCCCTATCGCTTTCATTACAAATAGCTTTCATGATTAATGAGCAATAATTTATAGAGATAAAATATTGCTCGAAAATCTATAAAAGGCCATGAGCTTGTCAGCGTATTACTTAGTTTAACGTGATAAGCGGAAAGTTTCAAATACAATGTTGCCAAGAAAAGCGATTATTGGAATTCTAATAGGATTTATCCTTGTATATTTCGGTAGGTGTTGTACCCAAAAAAAAAAAAAATTTTTTTTCTTTATTTCAACTTATGAAATTGTTATAGATATACGTTCATAAACCGGGAGATTAAATTGAAGCGCGTATGTGTGAATATGATTACGTACATTTTCTGCAGAAATGTGAAAAAAATATATTTCGATAATAATCGGAATCGTGTTTGTGTTTTTAAAATTTCTTAACATAATCGACGAGAATTTCAATGTCAATGACAGCGAAGTTATATCGGCCTCTACAAATGAAATAAAACGGATAACTCAATACATTGCTCCTACATTCAGAGCGAGAAAGGAATACGAATGGAATTAAAGGCTCTTGTGTTTAACTCACTTAAGATTTATGCTCTTTTGAATACTTAGGGTCATTTCGAATTCTTGACTTTCCGTTATAGCATCGGGCCAGCTAAAGGATTATGAAACTATTTGAATATATTGAAATCTAAAAAGTTTAAAAAGCAGCTCAGGTAACCTTTAAAATTAAAAATCTCTTAAAAGATTAAAAAAGATTTCGAAAAACTAGTGAAAAAATAATAGTCATTTTTCGAATGAATTTTTTTTATAGCTCCAATCCAAAGTCCATCATGTGTTGCCGTCGTTTGTTTACCGCAAACTTATCAGTGTTATATTACCCGGATTATACGCTAAGTTAATTGAAATGTTCGGAAAATAATAGGGCATGTCCCGCGTACGAAGTAAAGAATGGAAATGAGATAAGAATGTAGGCTAATGGTCAGAAGGATTGTCATTTATATGATATGTGATATGATATATGAACCGAAGTGATAGTGATAAACATTTTTTTATATTCACCATACAACCACGCTGGAGATGCGTATTAAAAGGATCTATTATTATTATATATATATATATTTTTTTTAATATGACCGCTTACTCATGCGTGACTGTCGAGAGAATCGACAGAAACGAACGGGAGACATTGAAATGCCATGAAACGAAAATCGCACAGTGTTATGTCCCTAGGGAGAGAGCACCCTCTCTAACTACGATCAAGTGTGCTTTGCTGCACTGAAATTTATTCCTGCGAACATTGACTTGATAGTCGTGATTCTTCTCGCCTACTCAGTTATGTCTTGTGCTTAAATAAATGAAATGATATGAAAATTGAAGAAAACAAACAAATCTCTGTACATAGCTCACAGTATAGAGCGATATGTACTTTGTGTATACATTTGGTGCCAGAGCGTCCTTAATCAATTTTACAGCCTTTGTCAAGTTGATTGTATCAGATCCTTTATTACTCTTTCTTAGCAGCAAAGAAAAACCTTGATTTTCAAGTTGAGTTTAGTAGTTGAGTTCGCTTATGAAACCGACAACAACAAAATTTATTTTCCATAAATATGACTCTAATAATTAATAAATATATCAACTGCAAATTAATTAAGGTGACCAGGTATAGGCCTTTTTCAACGCTTATCCTGTTTTCGTTATTCTTCATACACTAATTCTTAGAAAAAGAGAAAGGAAAACTTATAGGCCATGGTGAAAAATAAAGACTAAAGATGGAAACACCTCAACTAGGGGATTGCAAAAAGAGTGAAAGTGAATAAAGAAATCTAAATTCGTGAGTAAAAAGTATATTTTAGCAAATTTCAGAAATAGTAGAAGTAATAGAAGTAATGTAAAGTAAAAATGCCAATGTCTATGCGTACTTCTGCAGCACGAGAAAATTGTGGGCACCTTATCTTAACACTAAAAGAATTTTCATGTGATTAACTTCGCACCTGTACCCAAGCGTCCTTCCACCTCGCTCGCTCTACGTATATGCAAGTATATACTCATTGCCTTATTTACGTGTTTCTAAACAATTACTTGATAAGATTAAGATTGTATAAGGCAAAGTTGTTCTATATTCGCCGTGCTGCGAATCGCGGACACACAACATCTCAAGCACAATAATGTAAGCTAAGATTAGTTTTCAGTGAATTATAGACAAGCGCCAGCCGAAGAGAAATCGACAAAATTTGCTATATGTCGTTAGCAGTCTTAAAGCTACGTATATCCGATTTTCGCCTGACCAGGTTTCGTCTCAAACAATTTGCCTCTAACTTACGATATCAACGCCATAAATTATTCAGACTATTCGTACGAGCGTCCAATTTTATAGAATATCACTCTACAGTAGGTGCTTCCAATGTATAGAAGGCATTTTTCTGTGGTGGCAGAGACTGTTACCAGGTAACGTCCTATGAGAAGTATTTGTATTATAACAAAACTGTTACCATTTAATAGACGTTTTCATTAAAACGCCTAGAAGGAAGCATCCGAGGGCCCACAAAGTATATATTTTCTGATCAGCATCACATTCTAAATCGATTTAAACCGTCTGTCCGTCTGTCCGTCTATTGTAAACACATCTTCATCACAACATCAAATCTGTTTTTCAAAAGTAATAAAAAATTGATCTTTTGTTCATTAGCCATAAACCATAGCAGATAAATCTACAAAAGTTTGCGGGCACCTGTATAAAATTGGAAAAAATTGATCATGCCTACCCAATATTATGGTGTATCAAATTTTAATTTTTTTTCAGTACCTTCGTAAGGTACAGAAGCAAATTTCAACAACCCCCATAAAGTATAAAAATTCTTCAAGCAAACTTGAAGTGTCCATCTGTCTGTCTACGCAACTGGGTAAACATGCTCTCGTGTTTTTTTTTGCTGTTTACTCATTACAACACACACACCATATAAATTTCCGCTGTTATTCTGAAAGTAGAAAAAACCAAGCCTGCCCACTTAGTACTATAGAGTATGATAATCAGTGTTTTTCCTTTCTTTTAGAATCACGATGATGAGTATAAAAGATTCGGTCGCGACCGAATATAAATTTCTTACCTGTTGTGTACTACACAATCTGCGGTAGAAGTGTATATTAAGTTTATGCGAATGTATGTAACCTGCCTTCGATTATATTCGAAATCACTTTTAGAATTGATCTGAGGTTGTTTGTCATTGTACATTCATAAATCGGCATATTTAGGCCGTGTTCCACTGTAGTGTTTTTAACGATTTTTCAGAATATGTTCAAACGTTACAAACAAATGAAATTGAGCAATAGCTTAACTTAAATATATGCTTTTTCTTCGATAAGAAAAAAAAACAAAAAAAAAGAAATTGTAAAACAACCTTCTGATATACTGATAGAATGTTATTCTAAGTCAATAATAGATTATTGAACTAATACAGTGTTTGCAAGTTAGCCGATAATAAATTAATAAAATCGCTTTTTTGATTAAATTCATTCATTGCACAATATATATGGAAGTTTGTATATAAAAAAATTCAATTGTTAGAATATCTGACTTATCATCCAGAGCTGCTATGACTCCTTGTCATTTCATAGAATCAAGAATCAATTATGCATAAACCTTTTTACTGCGGCACTTTTTTCGTATGTCCTTTGGCATCAAAGTTATGAAGAATTTTCGATTGATATTCTAATACATGGAATAATGGATAAAATGTGAAAATGACTTTATTAGCGGCTTTAAAATTGCCTTAGTGTCCTTCCAGAGCTTTTCTTTTTTACTATCATGTGATTTACTACAGTCCTTCCTTTTACGTTAATAAGAAAGGAACGTGGATTTTTATTTAGGCACCGGCTTTAATACGTAACCAAGAGCGCGTGTTTTCCTAGCTGATAACTATTTACTATTTATATCTAGAGGTACCACTGCCGGTTTAAAATAATTTTTTTTTTTTTTTTCATGTTTTTAGTTCAAGCGGAAGGTTTATCATGTTGGCAGTGCATAGATAATGAATGTGAAGAGAGTCAGACTAGGCAATGTACTAACAATAAAACCGATAATCAATGTTTCATTCTTTTCGATGATCGCGCATCCATTATTGACATGGGCTGTGTTGGTGATCAAGATGATGACTTTGTTTTCAATAATATTTACAACTTGTTCTTATGTAACAGTGATAATTGTAACGCCTTTGAAAATATTCCACATTCAACATATTGCTCCCTATGTGATTCCAACTATGATTTGGATTGCGCTTCCAGTCCTAACGATGTGGATAATGGTAAAACATGCGGCCCCCCGCCGCTTACGCAATGCTTTGCAAAAGTGAACGAAGGTAATGTAAGAAGAGAAAAGTTGATGAGATGATTGATTCCAAACCCTCTCTTAAAATAATATAATGTACTCACGGTTTAGATGGATCGACTCAACGTGGTTGTGTCAGTGACTTGAACAAAACCGATTTATTCTCCTGTCTAAACAACAATACAACTCTATGCATGACTTGCAACGAAAATAAGTGCAACACGAAAGTAAAAAATCGATCTACTTTCGTATTTAAATAATTTGATATATATTCTATTTAGATATTTCCCGAAAACCGCCTCAGTTGCCACCGTTGCAACTCTACTGCTGACCCGAATTGCGAGAGTTCACCAAAATTAAGTTCAATTTGTCCTAGATATTCTGAGACGGAATCTTGTATAACAAAGTTAGTCGATGATATCACGTATCGTGACTGCAGCCCAGAATTGGCATGTGATAGTACTGATAAGCAGACATGCCGATCGTGCAACACCAATGACTGTAATGTTGTGAATTTATTTAATAGTTATATCGGATATCCAGGCAAATGGCAAGAGGTACCTATTAGTTGTTTCAGTTGTTTGGGTAGAAACTGTCGCGAAACAAATCCCGATCAGCTTAGGCAATGCGAGCTAAACGATCACCAAAATTGCGTTACTGTATTCGAAAAAGACGGAACAATAGTGCAGCGGGGATGTTCTGATGAAATTTACGCTGAAAAGTATTCCAAATATTGCGATGAAAATTTTCAATTTTGCAAATTTTGTAAATCGAATGCTTGCAATGCGGCTACTGATCTCAAAGCTTATGTTGATTGTTTGTTTTGCGATGGTTTCAATGATAAAAGTTGCGTATCCGGCGTTGACGCTATTAAACGGACTCGTTCTTGTCACGAAGCGTGCATGACCATATTATATCCACGTGTCGACGAAGAAGATCCCGGTTACGAATTAACTAGAACATGCCTTGATGATTTAGAGCGTGATGCTCAAACTGTCTGCGTTGGTGGCGATAATACTTTTTGTAAGGCTTGTCAAAATTCCACTTGTAATTCAGTTGATATTCCCGATTCGCCACGTTTAACCTGCAATACATGCCAGAACGCTGAATGCAACAATATAACAAGTGCTCAATGTACAGCGTTTCGAGAAAATGACAAATGTTTCATCCTCTTCAGCAATGGCAATCCAAACGGTATGGGTTGTATGAGTGACTTGGATTCGTCTTTTATAAAGGCCAATAGACGCCAGCTATTATTTTGTGATGGCGATGATTGCAATAGTCTTGATGACATACCACAAACCGGTTACTGCGTGGAATGTAATTCAACTAATGATCCTAGTTGTGTTTCAGACTCCTCAAAGGACTCAAGAGAATGTGAAGATTTACCCCATACCCAATGTTATATGCGTATTGATAAAGGTATGTGTGCATATCAAGTTGTCCACAATTAATACGACAATGTCATTTTCTCTTCTTATGTGTACAGACGGTTCTACACATCGCGGTTGTGTCTCCGATCTAAGTAATGATCTCTTTGAGGAGTGTATTGATAGTACCGGACAATGTCAAGTTTGTGATTCTAATATTTGCAATAATGAGGTATACCCTAAGGATCGTCGCAGTTGCATACGTTGCGATTCTTTAAGTGACTCTGCTTGTGAGGACGATCCCTCACCATTCGCCAGCATTTGCTTAATTTATGAAGAAGACGATAATTGCGTTACTAAACTAAACGGTACCCAAACTTTACGCGATTGCACATCAGCCCTTAGTTGTGACGTAGCCGATCGAGAAAAATGTCGAATATGTGCTGGTACAAATGATTGTAATGGCGTGAATCTTTTAGCCAACGCTGTTGGTTTGCCGGGAAAATGGCAACCTTTGCCTTTAAAATGTTACGTTTGCGAAGGGAAATCTTGCGAGGATATTAAAACTTCACGTATTGAGGAGTGTGAAGGAAATATTTTCCAAACATGTATGACAGTTTTCGCTTTGGATCACGACGTCGTACAACGGGGCTGTAGTGACGATGTGGCTATAACTCAAGAGAACTATTGCGATCAACATCCAGACCTATGCTTAGCTTGCAAATCAAACGAATGCAATGATGCTGAACGATTAGAAGACTTTGTGGATTGCTATTTTTGCGATTCGACGGAGGCTGATGCTTGTGTTATTAGCCCCATACAGTCTCGTGGCAGAACGCGTAAATGTTACAAGGATTGCATGGTCGCTTTATATCCGCGAGATAATAGCAGCGATGTAGCGTTTGAATTAACGCGTACTTGCTTGAATGATTTAGACTTGAAAGAACGTGAAAGTTGCACAAAAGGTGAAAATAATTATTGCATTTCTTGTTCGGATCAATTATGCAACGCTATGATTTTTCCTGACGATCGTCAGGAATGTTATCAGTGCTTAAAAGATAGTTGCGAAGAATACACGACTGAGTTGTGTACTACGTATCATCCACAAGATCAGTGCTACGTTTTATTTGAAAACGAAGACATGTCACAAATGGGTTGCCGTAGTGAGTTTGATAACGATACCGTCCTTGATTTAATCAAACAGAAGAAGATGTTGTTATGTAATGGCAAAAATTGCAACAACCCGGAAGCGCTACCGACACCGAAAATGTGCTCCACTTGCAGTTCCGAAAGCGATGTGTTGTGTGCAACTAATCCGAATTTGGTCACAAGCACAAATTCTTGCTCCGCATTACCTTATACTGATTGTTATACGCGTATCAACGCTAACAGTAAGTACTCAAGCGTCATTTAATCATTTATAAGCGCGCCAATGATTTTCTTTCCGTTTCTATTTCTTAAAGATGGTCATACGGAGCGTGGGTGCCTGGCTGCATTGGACAATGACATATTTTACGATTGTTTAATGGCAGGGGAAAATGAACTATGTCAGACCTGTGTTGGCGACAAATGTAATTCAATTGATGTCTTTCCAATTGATCGTAGAAAATGTCATCAATGTGACTCATCCATTGATCCACTCTGCGCCGCTTCTCCCAATGCCAATAAAGTGTGTCCAATTTATAAAGAAAACGATTCTTGTGTAACGAATCTGGCTAATGGCACAACTAGTCGCGGCTGTGCCTCGAGCATGAAGTGTGACGATGAAAATGACAACACCACATGCCGTAAATGCGACTTTGATGGTTGCAACACCATTAATCTCGAATATGTCGTTGATGAAGGAAAACCAGGAAAATGGCAGGATCTTCCTCTAACTTGTTACACTTGCGAGAACGAAAGTCAATGTCAGAACCTTGGTTCTTTTAGAGTATGTGAGGGCAATCCAACTCAAAATTGTATGACAATCTTTAACGCTAAAGGACAAGTTAAAGCACGTGGTTGCAGTGATGCTGTTGAACTCGCCAATAAAGACTATTGCGAAGCTAAACCGGAAAACTGCTTAAAATGCAACTCAAATGGCTGTAATTTGGCTACAAGTTTGGAGGACTACGTTGAATGTTTATACTGCGATTCAGAATCTTTGGAAGAATGTGTCAACAATATAAACTCCACTGTTAATCAGATCCGAAAATGTTATAAGCATTGCATGACTGCTTTGTATGCTCGTGACAAAGAAGAAAATCCCGCTTACGGTCTGCTTAGATCATGTTATGATGACATGGACCTTGATGACCGCGAAGATTGCGCGTCTGGCGCTAACGAATTTTGCAAAGCATGTGATACCGAAAAGTGCAATGTAGTCAATATTCCTGAAAAACGTCATAGCTGCAATATCTGTGAAGACGATACATGCAAAAATCTTAAGACTCAAGAGTGTGTAGCTTATCACCCCGAGGATCAATGTTACCTACTATTTAATGAAACTCACTCTGTCATTGAAATGGGTTGTCGCAGCAAATTTAACAATGCAGAATTGAATGGTTTAATCAAACAGAAACGCATTTACTTATGCGACGGAGATAATTGCAACACCCACGCCATTATACCACAAGTTCAAACGTGTGCTTTGTGCAATTCACGGACTGATATAAAGTGTGCAACAAATCCTGAAAAATTGGAACATTCCACAGTATGCGCTTCTCTGCCGTACCCCGAGTGCTACTCGCGCGTATTGCCGGACGGTTGGACTGAAAGAGGTTGCTTATCTAATTTACAAGATGACGATTTTCTAAACTGCTTAAATACGACTTCACCGAGTTGCTCAAGTTGTCGCGGCGACCTTTGCAATCGAAAAATATACCCTTCCGATCGGCTTTCATGTCACATATGTGATTCGAACACTAACGGGGATTGTGAAACTTCGCCAAATAGTCTGAGCATATGCCCTAAATATGATCCAGAAGATGCTTGTGTTACTAGCTTCCACGAAAATACTACTTATCGCGGTTGTAAATCTCATGTGGCATGCGATATTTTTAATCCGAGAAAGTGTGTCGTTTGTGAAGGCAGTGGCTGTAATACTGTTAACTTGGCCAAAAAACAAGATGATAATTTTGGAAAATGGCAGAATTTACCTTTGACTTGCTTCACTTGCAACCAAAGTGATTGCGCTTCGCTAGAGACAACCCAAAAACTAGAGTGTGAACTAAATGATGAACAAGACTGTATGACTGTATTTGATCAAAGCGGTGTAGTGATAAGTCGCGGGTGTTCCAATTTAGTGGAAAAGTTTTACGGAGACTTTTGCGAAGCAAACGAAGACAATTGTTACGCGTGTAAGTCGAACGAATGTAATACAGCTCTTGCTAAATCAGAGTTTGTCGATTGTATTTACTGTACGTCTTATAAGAATTCCGAATGCTTATGGAATCCGCAAAATAGCATCCATAGAACTCGTCAATGCCAAGGTGGATGCATGACCGCTTTGTGGCCGATGGACTCCGGGGAGTCCAGTTTTGATTTAATACGCACATGTTTGAACGACAAAGAAGTTAAAGATCAAACCACCTGTTCGAACGGTGAAGACGCTAATTGCCGAGCCTGCCTATATGATCGTTGTAATGTTGACGAGCTACCGGAGGAACGTCACTCCTGCTATACATGTGAAGAAGATTGCGAAAATCCAATCCCAAAACGCTGTCCCTTGGTCGGGGAAAACGATTCTTGTTTTACTGAGTTTAATGAAATCAATGAAATTAGTCAAATGGGTTGCCTTAGTTCATTGCATAATCAAGAATTGGAAGATATCATTAAAACTAGAAGGGTTTTAATATGTTCAGGCGATGATTGTAATTCTCTTGAAAGCGTTCCAGCAGCTCAAAGTTGTGCAATTTGCAAGTCATCCGATGATGAGGCTTGCGCTGTGAAACCGCAAGACATTGGAACATTCACTGACTGCAAAAGCTTACCTTATACTAATTGTTACAGTAAATTAAATGAAGGTTAGTGAAGCGGTTTTTATTACCATTGTATCCTTAAATTTTTTTGCTTTTTATCGAACAGATGGAGTAACCGAGAGGGGGTGTTTGTTTACCTTGCCAGAGGATGACTTTGTGTCTTGTGTGTTAAATACAAATGAAAATTGTGAAATTTGTACTGGAGACAATTGCAACCGGGAGGTTTGTAGTGCCAGCTAGAAATTTTCCTTCTAACTTAAGAGATCTCTTATAAATAGATTTTCCCTCCAGACCGATTAATGTGTTACGCTTGCTCCTCCGACGAAGACCCTGCTTGTGAATCCTTTCCGATGACAGCTAGGCCGTGTCCAATCGTTAATGAAACCGAGTCATGTGTAACGGCTTTAAGTAATAATATCACCGTTCGTGACTGCAAGTCGTACGTCTATTGTGATTCTACCGACCCTAAAACTTGCCGCTCGTGTTTCGCCACCAAATGTAATTCCATTGATTTATTCAATAAAATTGATGATGGCCTTCATGGCGTTTGGCAAGAACTACCTTTGCGTTGTCATACCTGCGAAGGCGATGAGTGCTTACACTCATTAGGACCCGCGTATAACTGTTCCGTGAGGAATATTCACCAAGATTGCATGACAGTTTTCGATCTTTTGGGCAACGTCCAGCGTCGTGGCTGCTCTGATGATGTAGAGGACTATGAAGATTTATTTTGTCGCCTGAATCCTGATCTATGTTTTAAATGCAAATCTAACGAATGCAATATGGTTTGGAGCACTGACGCATATGTAAAATGCGTTTTCTGTAACTCAGAAACTGATGCTTCATGCACAATGAACCCAGAAAGTACTGAGTTTGAAAGCAGAAAATGTCACAAAGAATGTATGGTTGTCATGAACGATAATCAAATTATTCGTTCTTGTTTGGATGATAAAGAGATACTACATCAACAAGCATGTCGTCTTAGTGAAAATAACAAAGACTGCGCTGCATGCGCGAACGACGGGTGCAACAATTTTGTATTCCCATCCGATCGCCTCAAATGTTACATGTGCGACGATAGCACACCTTGCCCACTGACTTCTTCGAAATATTGTGAGATTTATGACGATAATGATTCCTGTTTTGCCAAATTCAATGACGGCAAAGTAGACTTGATGGGTTGTATTAGCACACTCAACAGCAGCGATATAGACGATTGGACAGAGCAAAATATCTTTTATCAGTGTGAAGGCAGTGAATGCAATGAAATCTCTCGATTACCAAGTGGTGTGAAATGTATTTTTTGCGACTCAAGCAACACGCCTGATTGCGCTCAACAGCCAAACCTAATAGAAACAACAAAGGATTGTAAAGCACCCAATGACATATGCGTTACCCGTATCTTGGAAGGTCACACGTTAAGAGGCTGCTTTGCTCAACTGAACTCAACAGAGCAAAACTGCGTTAAGACGGGGACATGTCACAAATGCAAGGGCGATAACTGTAATAATCAGGTGAAAAAAAAAGATATCATTTGAATATTGGATTGCAATAAACATTTTTTTTGTTCAGATTTTCCCTGACGATCGTCGCCAATGTTATATTTGCAACTCTACAGAACACGCAAATTGTGCTGCTGACCCTCTTAAGCCAGAAGTTTGTCCCATTTATGATAGTAACGATAGCTGCGTGACATTGCTGAAGGATAACACCTTGATTAGAGGTTGTGGTTCTCAGATCATTTGTGATCAAAGTGATAGCGACAATTGCGATATTTGTCATACGGACGCTTGCAATACGGTCGTCCTTAAAGGTTCTGCTGGTGGTTTGGATAAGCACTTTACCCCTATAATCTCATTTATCATCTTTATGTTTTCATTTATGATTAGTTGCTATTAAACTTAGACATTAGGTGGTCTTGAGTTTAAAAAATTTTTATATTCACTTTTACTTGCCAATAATAGCTTTAGTAGTAAGACAACATATGTACTTCATAGTCTGATATCTGAAGAAGTGAAAAACGTTTTAAGCATTTTGCTAATAACTTACCCGATGGGGATAAGCCAAATGCCAGGTAACGTTAAGTTTTGAACCAGACAGTAGCGAAGTATGTTCTAATCCTGGAATTGAGAAAAAAATTATTATAATTATTAGTATTTATTTACTTAATCTAATAAAATAAATTCTTAGACTAATTGGGAAAAAAGAGACGTCGAAATCTAACGGCCAAGGTTTTTGGTGGAACAAATTAAATGGTTGGTCTAGTCATTTTGATGTCTTTACAAGCTTGCGTTCTACGAGTACCTTAATAATTGGGAAGATCTTTAAAGCGGTTATGTCAATTTGATGTTGTTTCCTTTTCAAAACAACTTTTCGAAAAATCGACCCGATATTCATTAGATTTTAAGTCATGTTTTTTACTGTTTCATATGCAAACACTTTAACCCTACTATGACAATAGAAATAAAGAAAAAAAACCAATAGAAAGTTTATATGTAAAAACAGCCTATGCCTTAACAAAACTTTTCAATTCTTTTTACATAAACTTGAGAAAATGCACCGTACGTTTAGTGAGTACAATGATTAATGAACACATTTATTGAATGGATTAGTGAAAAAAGTTTGAATCGCCTATGGACGCATGGGATATTGCAGCTTCTAAGTATGAACTGAAGATGAATCCAAGACACATTTACAAACTTCATCCAAAGACGTGATACACTCGGTTTTTATACAAAAGCGTCCCCATAGAATTCAAAAGGACAATGCTTTGTAGTGATAGCTAAGTAAGCGGGATTATGCTTCGAATATCTGAGCAACTTTTCACTTAGTCCCCTAAGCAGAAGAAATGGCGGCACTGTGATGGAATGTTGCCTCAGCGGGTGGATTGACCAATCAATACGTTAATCGAACATGCTTTTCGTCGTTATTCGTCCTCCGTCGAAACCCATTGCAAACATCATCATGTATTGAATCATTAAATTATCTTCTTTCGAAGCAATAAGCTTTGATGCTTTTGACTCGATATTGTTAAGAAAGAATGTTTTAATTGCGCTTTCGTTGTATTTGACACAAAAAGCGTCAAGTTTTTGAAATTTTATGAAAAAGTGGTTGCATTACTTTTTGATCATAAATAAATCAAGGGTGTGACGATAAATTCGAATCTTAGTAGAACTCCTTGTGGAAACACCATACGGTTAAGCAGTTAGCATCAAGCTACGGTTCGGTTTGGAAAAGCCTTCTCCCTACGAACAAAGGAACCAAAAGCCTTACTTCCTTAATCGCATAACTCATTACAAAACCAGCAAAGACACTATAGCAATCCATGGTCCACTACAAAATACCCTACTCCAGCGTACAGTTGCTCGTACAACGACTTTTCAAAGTAGGCGAACAACTGGTCGGATCTGAACCATATTCCGTGACGTTCGTCTTTGAACTAAAACACGGCAATGTATCGAATTTCGTCAAAATATCTCAAAAACTTTCGCCTGTAGTTCGAACATCCGAAAACAAGACGGACGGACGGACTGGCGGACAAATGGACAGACACACTTAAGTCAAACCAAAAGCGCGATTGCGCTAATGAAAAGAGCAACAAGTAATACAAGGGCTGTAGAATAAAAAAAAAGTATCGAAATCCTGAATCCTAGATGGAATCGAACATAATCGAATTCGTTGTTAAATGGAAAGATTTTTTTAATACGATTGTTGGCGAAATTTTTCATCAAATCATGCAAAGAAAGAATTGTGTTTAGCATTGTTTACTAAGAGTCATGTCATGTTTTCGAAATCAATACGTTGTCAGTATGTGTCAGTATGTGATAAATATAATAACAACTTTTTCAGTACAATAACATATTAATGTAATATAATAACTTATCACGTAATTATTTGAGCATCTTTTCTCTGTCAGCGTTAACGCAAAGGAATGTGGTCTAAACCACATTTTCTTCAATGCACACGTACGCAATATATTGTCCATTTGCTTTTCTTGTTTTCTTTCTACAACATTTACTCGATAACCTAATGACCAACTCATGTATTATTTATGCAACAAGTTACTGATGTTTAATTGTTCTTTTTATGCTTTCGTATTATACAAGTAGCTTGCGATTATTGTATGCATTTATCATTATTATCTTAAGCTGTGATTATTAATTTCCACTCAATGTGCTTTTTGAAAATTATTGCAAGACATAGCAGGATAAAGGCCGATGCCATCTATATAGCATTTTTAAACTCAACGCATTAATGATAAGCGTAAGTAAACGATAAATACTTTTTTATGTATATTTAAATTTCTTAATGTTTCTGGAAAAAGACTTATACACAATGCATAATAATGATAAATAAATGCCTTCTTTTGGCCAGAATGGAACAAAGAATTCTATACGGAAACCTTCCATTAGGAGTAAGAGGGCAATTATCATTTAGACAATCTTGACTTTATAGTGCTCGTTAACTGGAATAATAATTACGTAATTGCGAATATTATGATCAAATATTTGATCTTTTAGACAATAATGAGACAACTAGCTCTTAAGTAAGCGGATAATGTTCGAATTTGCTGCATAGATTGTATTATAGCTAAACTTTGCTCACATCTTCAACTCTCTTCTAGAGATCTTAGGTTTATAAAGAGTGATTACAATTTACTCAAGTTAGTTGACGTTCGAATATCAATCGAAAGTTATATTCAAGTGACGAAAGTAAGTCATCGATTTTTCAATAACTATCGCCGAAGAATAGTGAACTTGTGAAGGATGTATTCGGCGGCCGTACGTACAGTAAATCAGCACAAAGTTCTCTTATTCCCAACCGTATGTATATCCGTCCATCCGTCCGTCATCCCATCGTTTGAAATGCAAAAAACTGAAAGCTAGTAAGTGTTAAAAGTTCTTCAACGGTTGAATTTTTCATGGCGTTACCTGACCGTGATAAGCAAAATGTTAAAAAAGTAACATTTCGAAATCATTCACTGTCACGGCTACAATTAACTTAAGGGTAATATAATCTTCTCAGCGGTTCTATAATAATCTCATCTGATAAAAGGAACTTTACTTAAATCGTATAACTGTCCACGGTTTACATTCTCCCGGCTCCAAGCGCTTTCAATTATATATGATTTTTAAAGACAACTTTTAGAAGTAAGGGAAAGGACAACAATTTTAATTTCTTGTGCGCAGAAGGGCTTACGCCGATCGATTCAGTAAATGATTCTGATTCACATCGGCCGCTTGTCCGTCCGTTCTTCCCTCTGCTAGTTGCCTGTTTTGGCCTAACGGCGAACGCTATTGAAAATGGATCGGAGTAATTCCCTTATGACGTCATACGTATACCTTACTCCAGTGTGGAGTAAGGTATTTAAGGGTGGACCGTGGACCACTATAATAGTTTTACTTGTTCACTCCATAAATTGATTGAAGTGAATGTTATGTTTGATGTTTTCCGCCATCGAACTGTTGTTTTCAAGTTTTATTAAATTTCTTATTCCAAGCTTTGTTCAGATTAGTTAATTACTAAAGAGGCGCATTTATGATTATTTGCGGTTTTCTATATAAAAATCTTCATTTCGACTTGCCGGGCGTTACGAAGAGCCTTTCGACCGTGTAAAACATGAGATGAGTTGTAAATGCCTTTCGTGGACGCGGGAAAGGGGAAACAATAGCACCATCGCTTATTCTTAAGTTATGCCAGAGCATAATTAATATAATAATAAGTTAGTTATATAACATCTCTGACTTTGCGAATAATTCGAATTTCTATTTTTACTTGATTAGGATAAGGATAAGTGTAGCAAGCATATAAAATTGAACTTAAATCGTATATATTATGTGTGTATGTCCACTGTATGCGTACATAATTTATGTCAGTGTTTTTATGTATTAAAGAATTTTTTTTTTTTCTTTTTTTTTATTAATGAACGTAACTATCATAAAATATACGCGACTATTAATTTGTTAGCAAAACTACTCTCGGACACCTGTAACAGATACACGCAGAGTCAAGAGACTCGCATATGCTGTAATAACTGAAACTTGCTTACAAGACTTTATATGAATAGCAAGTGAAAGTTTTTTTTCTGTTTCTGTTTTTGTTTTTGTTTTTTTTCATTTTTCACTTGTGCTGCTTTTTGCCTTTGAACATTATTAACGTTTTCATTCGTTCAATATATGCGTTAAACACTGATAAGTTGCACTTTCATCTTTCGTTACCGTCTTGGGCAAAGTAATGTTGCCAGACCAGACTGGCCGCGCACCATAAAGCTAATTGTATATAAGCTTTGATATATTTTCATTTTCAATTACTTGAATAAAAAGGTGGTCTCGCTTTAAGCAGAAATAGGTTAAACATGTTAAACAATGCAGACTCTTTTTGTTATTGTTGTTGTGATAACATTGATGATTTCATAAAACTCTCTTTAAGTATATATATGCAACGATCTACTTTTCTTTCCAGAAAATCAATCAATCAATCAATTATCACAAATGTTTCTATTCGCGTCTTCATTTGCCTCTTCATTTACGCAGATCGAAACCATAGTTTGTAAGTTTTTTTTCTTCTTTTTTTTTTCTATCCTGACGAAAGGCATTTTAATATGGATAAACAAGTGAAAGCACTATAGTGATCCATAATCCATATTCTATTGAATACGCTACATCACATCACGTGAGGGAATTATTTCAAATAAAGCATGGTAGGGGAAGTGGACAGATCCCCTTGCAGCCAAAGTCGGTCTAAAATGCGGTCGTTGTAAAGTGTACCCTAATTCACCGAAATGTACCCAAATTTACGTTTTTTAACTCCTGAACCGTTCCCTTTATTGGCTGATTTTCGAACTTTAGCTTACTATAATTTAATATAATTTTCTTGCTATCTTTCACGTACGCCTTTGCAGTGATAAAAACTCGGTATTGAACACACTGAATATAACCGTTTATTATCCAAATGCGCATTGATATTGATAGGATCAACGCAGTTTACAATTTCTTGTACACGTTACAATGACTTTCTCAAATCGAGATATTAGAATTACTTTTGATATATATCTTACTGATTTCGACTCACAGATCTCACTGCTTGTGACAGGGTAATGACTTTGTAAAATGATATATGAAAAGATCTTGGCTTCCAGTCTGTGGGATATAGATGAAAATCAAGTCGCATAAAAAAAAACACAATTTATATATCAGTATGAACTTAGAAGTCAACCTATCCACCTGAGAGGCTTTCGCTAAACATTCCTGCAGTCTATGATAGTAAAGCAAAATGTTCATGTTTAGCAAATTTTCATAAGAGTGAGAAAAATTTGTTTTGTTTACCACTAAACTAAGCGGTAACGTAAATTTTGGTTTAAGCAAGTATAGCTTTACCATATGTGTTTTTTGTTAATTACATTGAAAAGTGTTATATTTTAATGTTCTCAAGACAACAAATAACCATAGATTAGCATAGGTATGAACATGTTTAAGGAAAATAATGAAACAAATACACAAGCTATTGCATTAAACGGTATTATAAGTGCATTTAAATCTGGGTTGATTTAACAACCATTTCCAAATACAATTGTCGATGGCAGTCAACAAGTCTCAATGTTGTTGCAATTGAAACAATAACCGATTGACCAATAGACTACAAACTAAACAAAAGGCAAACAAAATTGTAGCAAAGAAAAAAAACAAAAACAAAAAACGTTTGACATTGCAAAGCTTTTCGTTTAAAAACCTGTTGAATTTCCCACGAGGCAATAGCTGCTAAAGTATAGTAGAGACTGAATCGGAAGCAAAATAATGAATGTAATATAAGAAGAGAGAAAATTGTTTTCAGTTTGTGCCGAATTATAGGATACCCACTATACGTTGTATGATATTCAATCAAGATTCTGCCTGGCCAGGAGAAGTCTGGTCTTGAAGTGCGACTTAAGTTTCTTCGATTACTTACGTTTACTTTACATAAAACTATGTTTTATTGATTTTAAGCCTTTTGTAAGTTTTCGCCTTCTCTTCATGTGTGCGTATGTGCTTGCATATATATATATATATATATATATATATGTGTGTGCATGTATGTATGTATGTTATATGATATTTAGTGGTAAATGTTTGCAAATATATTTATATTGTTAACCATTTAGGTAAAAATGATTGTTTATGAAATATTTGAGTAGTAAATAAAAAAATAAAAAAAAAGTAAAAATGATAATAAAAAATAAAAATTACATTTAAAAAATGCAATGAAACTGAAACTCACCTTTTGGCATGCCGCACGGACCCTTAGTACGGGAATTATCCAAAAAATCCAAATTGTATTTACGTGCAGGTGGATAAGTTAGCGCCACATGAGCTAGACACGATTGAAGCAAACAACTTGTAATGAAAGCGATCAACATCGCGATCGCCAACCAGAATGTTGGCCAATCTCTCGTAAGATGTTTGCGTTGATACAGTCGTTGAAAGTAGTGCGGTGACCATAGCTGTTGATCAATACGATTACGTCGGTTTACATTCGCAGCCATGCTTTTCAACTGATTGTTTGCTTTTTTTTTATTTATTATTTTATTTTATTTTGTTTTTTCTACAGATTGCTTTTTTAACTAAATAAAAATGTGTGTGTTTTTCTTCTTTTTTATTTTTGAATTTTTGCTTTTTTTTTTTTTTTTTTTTCTTGCTTTAAGATACACAAGCTTCGAATATTTATGTAATTGCTTGCAAGTGTGCAAGAGAGTTATTTTTCTTTGAAAAATATTAATCTTTCGCGTTTATCCGAAACTTTTAATGGATTTTGATGTACAGGGTGCGGTCTTTTTTACACAAGGAATTTGCAAATGTAAACGCGGAACGAATGCTGCTCAGTTTCAAGCCGAGTTTGCAAAAATGATTTACATACGTTGCTTATTTGTCAAATGCGTTTCTTTTTTCAATTTTTTATTAACGTTACTTAAAAAAATTTTTAAATGACTTTTTTGATTATTTACCTTAGCAAACCAAGTAGAAGTACGTGCGAGCACTAATCTGCAAAGCAAACAAAAAAAACAAAATTTCGTTAGTAAAATGAATTTTTTTTTTTATTTTTTAATTTTTGTTTTTTAATATAACCAATCACGGAGCGGTTGTCACCTGTACGTGTGACAAAATGATGGTTAGAAGGAAATGGGAAATAAGTAGGGAATCTGCAGGCTAGTGGAAGTGTGCTCACTGCCTTTATCGGCTGAGCACTCACCATAACTATGGCCAAAGAAAACACTACAGCACTACGATTTGATCCTACAAAGATCGACTTGACAGTTGCTGCTCTTGTCTACTCGGCAATCAATATTAAATAAATAAATAGTAGGTAGAAGAGAAAAAGATCGACCTTAACATCTTAATCACGAATTGCTTCTTAAACCTGAAAGTGTTCAATAATTTCCAAATGCTTTGTCATAGGTGTGCGTGGGTCTGTTGCCCTGCAAACTCACGCAACTCTGCCTTAAACTCTGTCAGAGGTCGTGACGTAAAGGGTTTGGAAAATTATATCATGCGATCTCTAGTATTACATTGTGCGCTACTTTCCTATGTTAACGCTGTGGCCGTCAAGTATACAGCCCAAACGTCACTCTGAGAGCTTTAGCGGTCATTGCTCGAGAAAGATGGATTTCGAATGAATGAGCTACAATCTTAAGATTGCTAAGATCATATGCATTTCCCGGCATCTTTGGAATTTACCTCCAAGGGCTTATGAAGAGATATCTAAGTATGGTAATATTCGCCTCTTATATGCTTTCGCGATACAGCAAGACATATATAGAGTGTTATAAAATTTACACAAGATTTAAATTACACGGAAACATGACCTTTTTATTATGTCATAATATGTATAGAACAGGATTATGTGTGCAATAGCGCATCAGGTAAATGGCCCTTGCGGTTTTGCTGCTACACGCGCCATCCTTTATTCAAATTTTTTGTGATCATTTTGCATAAGTGCCGCTCAATTTCGTCGATGCAGTGTCGAATCTCCTTCTCCAATGCTCCGGTGGTTGTGTGCTGGTTGGCGTCGACCTTTGACATCAAATAACCCTATAAGAAGAAATCCAGTGGCAAAACATCACATGATCTAGTGGTCCAACTCTGATCACCGAAAGAAGGAAGTGCCCAACCTAGGAAAATCTCATGAAGTATTTGGCTTGTTTCAAGGAATGTATGGCCTGCGGCTTCGTCTAGTTGAAAACAAATGTCGGTCATACCGATAGCATCCAATTCAGGCGGAATGAGTTATCGACCACCAGTGACAGTTACTGCTTGACCAGTCTCATTTCTTAGTGTTGTCCAACGACGGCTCCAGGCCCATACTCCACGTCAAGTAGAGGCACATTTTGGATGCATTTGTTTTTTGGACAATTACATCTTGGAACCCCAAATGTGGCAATTTTAACGATTAATGAGATCATCACGTTGACCGCATTTTATACGAAATTTCCGAACTGTGCCTCACAATTGTTCATTATTATTGAAATGGTGTTTACGAGTGAAAACGCATTGCTCTATTGTGTAATGCTGTATTTTTACTAACGCTGGCAACCTAATACATATCGTACTACGTGTTTTTATCCTCAATCATACCGCCCTGTGCCAGTCAGTCATTTATGGAAATCATAGCGATACTTAAAATGTTACCGCTTTTGCTTATAATTTAAGTTCACCTACAATAGATAATCGAAAAATTTAAGTTCAAACTCACAAATGTGACCTAAAGACACATCGTGGCTCGATTAGAGTTAAAATAGTTCAAGGCGAAGAATTTACTCATTCTCTTCTTGCAAATATTCTTTTGAATGGAAGAATAAAAAAAAATAAACAAAAAAGAATCAAAAAAAAAAAAGTATTTATTAGGGCATCTTATAAAATCAATACATTAGGACGTATGAGTATCGTTCAAATTCAAAAACTAATAACATTGCAAGCAGAGTTAGAATAATGCAAATTGTATACATTATTATTATCACTCATACGGCACGACCGATAAAACTGAGATGAAATATTTATGGATTTTGTCACATACGCATTTTCAACTTACTCTGTTGGGAATTTCAACTTTAACCAGTTAATTGCGGATAACATACATTATGGCGCCTTTTGTGTGCGCAGACATCAACATTCCATAAAATGCAACCCACAAAAGAATGGAAGAAATTTTTGATTATGATAAGAAAATGGAATGAGTGGAGAGAGGCGAAGGAATAATTTATCATCATCATATACATTTGCAAGGCAACAGATAGAGATGTACTGTACGAAAATATTTTGTTGCTAAACTCCCATCTCCTCCTACTACACGCTTGTATTCGTACACTATATTATATACAAAAAAAAGAAAGAAAATGTTTTTTCCTCTATGAATTTTGTTACCAGAATTTGCTTAGCTTTTTCAATAACCACACCTTTTTATACCCTACACTATTTGTGGTACAAGGAACAATCAGACAGACTTGATAAGAATCAAACTTTTGCTACGTCGATCGAAACAAAATCACTTTCTGGATCGATCTAAACTTGTCCGTCTATCTGTCCGCCCGTCTTGTATTCCTCTATACAACCTACAGACTGTATTCTTTGTTTGAAATTTTGATGCTATTTGACGGTTCGAATGGGACCACTTTTTGTTTGCCGCAAATAACTGCAAGGCGGTGTAGGGTTATGGCGGACCGCGATCTGCTTCTTCAACACCCATTATTAAGCTTTTTATGAAATAAAAACTTATTCGCTTCACTTTGATTTATTCGTCAAACTTTGTCCACGCTGTCAGTTGATTTTATTCAAGAGTTGCCTGAGGCACTTTTAGAAATACATTAGGCAGTTAACTAGTTAAAATATTTACTTACACCGCGATGACGGACGTAATCACAACTAATGTCTAGTATTTACGATTAAGTTATTAACGCATAAAAGAAAAGTGTGTGTGAAAATTGTCGTTAAATGGTAATTATTATATAACATAGCAGTAAAGAACAGGTTTATGAAAATGAAAAATAGTAAAAACAATGAAATCCTTAGCAATTACACAAGTGTGCTTAAACGTGTACCATGGGAAATACAGTGCAACAAAATGTGGTATAGAATTCTGTTATTGCATCCGAACATCATAATAACAAGAAACCAATAATTTACTTATAGCTTGTTTATATGATATAAAAAAAACCAATGTGAGCAAGTAAGAAAATTATATTCGACCGTGGCCGAGCTTCTTAAACCCATCTATTTTTATTTTAGAAATTGAAAATTCGGAAAAAATGAAATTTCGCTACTTGATGAGATTGGATGGGCAAATGTGATTTTTTCCTTTTCTTTAGAAGTAGTCTACAATCACACACAGAATGTACGGAGAAAATAACTTTCAATGTTGGCGCCAAAATTGAAGCCGATGTCTACACCTTTGAGAGCGAGACCATATTTACCACATATATCGATATAGACGAACGAACGGACACACAGAAAGAGAGACACGTAAAATCGATTCAGAATTTGATACTGGATACCAGAACCTACTTAGAAACTAATTTTTAAGTGTTGCGAACATTTTCACGAAATAATTTACTGCCAACCACCGATAGCGTCGAATATGGTTGACTGTTAAACTCACTTTGTTTCTTCATCTCTCATGCTTTAGTCATAAAATATTAAGAATCGTATCTTATTGCCGGATAAAGATTCACTTTTTTTAAAAAATCTTATATAGGGAGGGATTTGAAAAGTAGATCTATGCGGTCCAGGTTCGAAACCTAAACTTCATCAAATCTTAAGTCATAAAATATTAAAAATCGTATCCTATTGCCGGATAAAGGTTCACTTTTTTTAAAAAATCTTATATAGGGAGGGATTTGAAAAGTAGATCTATGCGGTCCAGGTTCGAAACGTAAACTTCTATAATCTGGGTTAGCTTTCGTCAAAAAATATTAAAAATTGTACCTGGCCAAATGGAGGCTTACTTTTCATAATGAAAGGGATTGAGAAAATACTCCCGATCCACCCGATCATTAGTCCTAAATGCAATTTCCCATTGACTTAGTATTGAGAAGAAATCTTCAAAATAGCAAATTTTTTTCATCAGAGAACTTTTTCAAAATCTATTTTAGGTAGTGGGTGCTGCCTGGTGGGTGCGTGCCCAATTGCTAAATGCTACCCCTTTACCGTTTGCGCACTCGTTGTAGTTATGATCAAGTATGATCTACCGCACTGAGATTCGAATACAGGAAAACTGGCTTGGTAGGCGCGATTTGCATCTGCTCGACTATTCATATGAAGTGATAAGTATAGTCCTCATAACTGGGACTCGTCCATGAATCATGAAACATGTTCTTATAGAAAATCTCATCAAAATATGGGGAAAATTTCAACTTACAACCTGAACACCAAGGGGGCAGACGAATAGATAGATTTAACTTGATTCGGAAAATTAGTCTAAATTCCGTACACAAACTTATTAATAATAAGAAGTCACTTGCATTTATATAAATATGAATAGAGTGTTACGATACGTGTGTGGTCTATAATAAACACAAAATTGTCCGATCATAGACTTCATTCACATGCCTAACAGACATATAGAACAACAGCAATTTTCGTAAAAAGCTGAACTTTTCGTGGAAGGATTTCTTAAAGAATTTGACTTTGTTTATATATTTCGAAGTTACTTGAAGTAATAAACTGTTAAGCTGTTTAGTTGATTATAAAATTTATTACACGACTTATCGTACAAAGGTATATTAAGTTTGCGCCGATGTACGCAACATCCGCAAAAACCTAAAATAGGTCCTACCTTTATTATACCGAAAGTGATTCTGGAACGATTTAAGCTTTTCCATCCATCCGTCCGGTTTGTTTTTCTTGTTCATCCTAGGAACCACAACTATTGAAATATTTGGATAAAATTTGATACGCGGAGATGTTGTGGCTTGGCTCAGTGTCATAGGATGATTAGGATCGAACCTTTTTTTCGGTCACTTCCCATTGGAAGCCTTATTACAGGCTAAACC